ATTATTTCACATTTTAATGTCATAACTTTTACTGTGTGTGTCCCAAAAGTTTTGTCATAATTTTAACTTGTTGAGGCAAAGGTTCGGTTTTTATCGGAACATTTGGACTTTTGTCATTATTTTAACTTCCCACGTCAAGAACTTTATTCATAATTTTCTTCACCGCAGCAGAACGACAGGATATTAAATTACGTCGTTTTTCTCTTCCAGCTCCGGCTAAAGACATCGAAGCAGCGTTTCATCCCAACGGTAAGAGTTCAGACTCACTCATCATCAGCTGGTTTCTCTAACAGCAGTTCCACATAATGCCCACCAGGTGGCGCCGTCGCTCCTCAAACTGATGCAACGTTCAACACAAACTCATGTTTCTTCTTCTAAAGAAGGAAATCTGTCAAAGTGACGCTCTGCTGGTTTTGCAGCGACGGTTTTATTATTTCAAACCTGTTTTTAGATCTATGAGTAAACTCAGGTTCTGGATTTAATGTTTCTGGCAGAACAAGGACTCATTTTAAACAGGAAGTGGAGTTTTTTTAGTCATACTGCTCAGATTTATCCCTTTTGGACAATATTTTAGAGCGATTTCTCCCCAATATTAACTGTATTTTAATGCAGTTTTCTTAATTTTAACAAAGTTTTGCATCATTTGGAAGAAAGACTTCATTTTAAACACATATTTGTCACTGCGGAGGAGTTTTTAAACCATTTTGGCGTAATTTTGAACAAATTTGTGATATTTTTATTTATACTAACGTGTCGTTCTGCTCAAATTTTTACCAAGATTTTGTCATTTTAGCAAAATTTGAGGCTTCTTGGACAGTTTTTGTTTAAGTTTGGTCGTATTTTTGTCGTTTTGCAAAAGTTTTCTGGATAATTTTGGACAAGTTTGAGTCATTTTTGTTGTTTTTTAAAATATATTTTTGAGAAATTTTGAACACATCTTGACTCATGTCTGAGACATTTGGAACAAGTTTGGAGTCTTTAAACTCAACTAGGAGCCTGCTGTCCACCATGACGCCTTTACTTCATAATTAAATGCGTAGAATTCCAGATAAAATGACGTTTGAATGGCAGGATGTGCAGACTTACAGCTCCACATAGTTTCTCAGGTTATTGCGTAACTCCTTGCAGACGTCTGGGCTTTCTGCTGCAGCAGGTTCCGGTTCTTGGCTCCTCGGCAGCTAAACACTGTCGACACAAATCTCTGAGGATTGTGTTGCTATGTGAAGCACTTAAGTGGCTTTCAAACATTCTGATAACTTCTCTTCTCTCTGCTCCCACCGACGCCGCCGTGACTCTCTGCTGGAACCAGCAGCTCTGAAGGTAAGAAGACGTTTCAGCAGCAGGTTCAGAGCCGATAACACGAAAGATTAACGTTAAAGCAACAGTTCAGCTGTTTTCAGGAGAATAAAGGACGATGTTGACATTAGTCTCCACCTCAGAAGATTTAAACCTCTTCTAGCCACAAATGTTAAAAACAAACTCGTGAAATGCAGTTTAATGGTGATTATCGTTAAAAACGTCATGTGAGAACTCTGTATTCTCGTCACAATAATAAGACAGCATGAGATGCATGTTAACTTATTAAAGGAAAACTCGTGGATGTCAAACATCAGGATCAGATCGTGTCATTTCAGATCAATTCAGTTTCTGTAGAATATTTTGGCTGAATTTTTAAGAATTATTTTTTTGTATTTTCCTGCCATAAGAACTTGGGAAGCCATTTAATGGTTCAACACCTCCAGAAATAAAACTCCCACAGCCATCAAATGGGGTGAAGACACAGACAGGATAGTTTCCATCAGATCAAGAAGGATTAAATGGATCCAGAAGATTTTTAATTTTTGGACCTTGAAAATGAAAAAAAAAAAGTACAAAATGTCCAATCCAGGCTGGTGTTTTGGCTCCAGAAAGTTCCTGTCAGTGTCTGTCTATGGATGGATCCATGGTTCTACTAGAACCCAGTCTCTGGTCACGTTTCACCAACTGTTGAGGCTCTAACATCATCAGAACCTGATGTGGTGAAGCTGGACCAGACAAGGTTCCAGGTTTTAGATGTTTTGTCTTAAAAAGTCTTCAAAATTAGTAAAAATTTGTCCCAAATTATTCAAAATTAGGCCTTAATGACTTAAAACCAGTACAAAATAAGTAAAGTCCAAATTGACTCAAAAATGGTTTTAAAAAAGACACGAAACTTGTCATAAATAACTGAATTGTTCATAAATTGATCTGTAGAAAGTTCCTGTCAGCGTCTATCTATGGATGGATCCATGTTTCACCAGCTGTTGAGGTTCTAACATCAGCAGAACCTGCTGTGGTGAAGCTGGGCCAGACCAGGTTCCGGTTTGTTTAGACTAAATGTTGATGTGGATCATCGGTAGGAACCAGAACCTGGAGTTCACAGGTTCTAGATGTTCTTCTCGTACTTCAGTCGTAGCAGCTGGACTTACTTGAGTTCCTTGAAGACGTTCCACCTTCATCCAGGAGGCTTCATCAGCTCTGACTGACTAGTTGGGAGTTCCAGACATCCTGATGGAGCCGTTAACACCTGAGTGAACTCAAGCAGGTCCAGTTGCTACGATTAATCTACGAGAATATCCATGAGCTGGATGACTGGGAATCTTCACAGACGTGTTCTAGATGTTGGCTGTCGGTGTGCAGAGTTACAAGCTGCTTCCATGTTTTCAAAAGTTTTCAGATTCAGCCAAAATATTTTACAGAAGCTAGTTTTGGGTCAAATCAGTGCCGTTGAGATGACCTGGACCGACCTGCACGAGGAGGAGATGCAGCTTCTCTGAGCTTCATGTCGTCATGTTGCTGAAGCGTTGCTGTTTTCTTGCAGCCGGCCGGCAGTGAAGGCGAGTTGTGTCACGCCGACAGCCTGGGCTCAGCCGGCAGCAGCAGCACTCTGGCTTCATCCGTCATCGAGGTGGAAACCGAACGGGACGAACCGACGCCACAACTCAGGACCAACCGAGAGGAAGAGGTGGGCTGATGTTCCAAGTGTCCAACGGTGTTAGCAGCACTGGACAACAAGCATGGCTCTACATAGTATAGATAGTTTACTGTTTATATGTTTGATTTCTTTATTTGTTCCCTCTACACTGTGTGTTTTTTCAAAACTACTCAAAAATGGTCCAAAATGACACAGTAACTGATATGAAATGACAAAAACGTGCCCCAGATGATCAGACATTTGTCTATCATTTCTCAAAAATTGTCCAAATTGACTCAAAGTTGGTCCAAACTGTACAGGAACCCTCAGTTGTATTTAAATCATCTCTTTTCTGTTTGAATTAGGAGGAGGAGGAGCTGACCCCCCTCAGCCCTCCTCCCACTCTGTCCATCACGGAGGAGATCCTGGAGTTCATCAACCAGAGCAGAGCCAGAGAAGGTCTCAGCGCCATCCACAGCGACACCTCGGTGAGAAAACGCTCACCTGACTCACCTGTCTGCTAAACTGGACTTTGTTTTAAAGTTTTAGTGGGTTTATGGAAATCTGGAGACTGATGGAACCATTTCTTCACCACTTTGATGTGTGTTCGGACTCATTGTCTTGTTGAATCACCCAACTGCGACCAAGATCAACCTCCTGCTGGTGGTTTGAGGTTTATTATTATCACATTATTACATTGACTTTGTGTAAAGGTCCAGGTCCACTGGCAGCAGAACAGAACCAGAGCATGATGCTGCCACCTCCATGCTTGATGGTAGGTTTGGTGTTCTTGGGGTTAAAGGCCTCACCTTCTCTGGTCCAAACATGTCTGGTTCTTGATCCTCTGTGGACCATGAATATCCACGGCACAAGTTGGAAAGCCTCATTTTACTGTGTTCTGTGTCTCCTTCTCTGGTTCTGAAGCAAAGTCACACTTTAGCTGACAAATTAAATCCACTTAATTATTTCTACCAGCTATTTCCATTCCCATGTGGGTCAATCTGGGTCATTTCAGATAGCGGTGCTGGCAAAAAGAAAAGCCTTATTTGTTGTAAAATTTTAATATTAAGACAACATGGAAGCAGCCTGCAACTTCACACATATAATAGCAACATATGGAGCCCTATGAACACCAGTTTTGTGCTCCTACGTATGAGTCCACGTCAACATTTAGTCTAAATACCTCAAAACCTTGTCTTGTCATATTTGCCACAAGTCAAATTCTACTGAAGAAGTTGGTGAAATGTTGACCAAAGACTGTGTTTTTAGTAGGAAACATGGATCCATCCATATATGTACACTTACAGGAACTTTCTAGGGGCCACAATCCCACCCTGGTATGAAGATTTAGCACATTTTTTTCCATTTTCAAGGACCAATAATTAGAAATGTGTCCTCTACTGGATCCATTCAACTATTACGATCTGCTGGCTGATCTGTGTCTTCACCAAATTTCGCGGCTGTGGGCGTTTTTTTTCTGGAGATACTGAACCTTTTAAATGGAAAGTGAGATGTTTTTTTAAGGTTGAAACAACAAAAATTCACACAAATTCTTAAAAATTAGTTTTGAGCACCAAATAATGAATTCTGTCTGAACTGACACAAACTGACCCTTGGATTGATGGATGTCCTCCAAAAGTTTAACCGACCACTATCAGAACTTTAATCTTTTAGTTTCCAGGTTCATGCAGGTGTTCATAGTCAAGCGAGCAGTTTCTAAACCCAGTTGTCGTAACTTTCTTCCAGGATCAGCCCAAAGAGAGTCTGTCTCCATCTACCCAGACCAACTTTACCTGCCCACTGCCCCCAGTTACCTGCCCCTCCAGCCCAGAACAAACTCCCACAATGCAACAGGAACAGGAACAAACAGAGGTGGAGGCTGACGTCACCCTCCATAGTCAGATCGGTGAAAATGAGGCAAATAACATCCAAGAAATTCCAGATGCAACAAGTCAAGTTAAAAAGGGAGCGGAGGTGACACAAGAAGAAGAAGAAGAAAAAGAAAAAGAAGTGGTGGAAGAAGATAAACAAGAGATGAAAGCAAGTGATGACGAAGACAAACCCCAAACATCTGATCTTCATCCATCCATCTCTGTAGAGGAGGAAACAGAGAACAGCACACCCAGGGAAGAGGCGAACACCGATTCCTCCCCAGATCATCTTCATCAACCCGTCCAGACCCGGCAGCCGCCCAAAAGAGGCTCTCACCTCACCAAGCGAGACAAGAAGATCATTGAGAAGATCCGGAGTTACTACGAGGCAGCAGCCGAGGCCGAAGAAGACGACGAGGCAGAGGAGGAAGACGAGCTGAGGGAAGGAGGGGTGTCCAGGAGAAGGAACAGCTTCTCTCAGATCCCCTCTGGTTGGGTGAAGGAGTCGGTGTCGCGCTTTGATGTGAGTGGACACCAGGGGGAGCCAGAGGTTGGAGGGTCCATATGTGAGGCGACTGAAGCATCAGATAGGGAGCCCAGTTCCTCCACCAGTCCCACCTCCCCCATGACTCCTATTTTAGCAGATCTAGAAAGTGATGAACTGGCTGATAAACCAGTAAGCGGCCTTGATTTTGATGCTGAAGGTCCAATCAAGTCGACTGTGACACAAGATGAGGAAACCAAACACCAAGAGGGTCCGGAACAGGAGTCAAACAAAGACAGGCCCGTCGGAGAAGAGATTCAGGATGGAAAAGCCTACAATGGGTCATCAGAGGAAGGACTCGAGGAAGGACCTGAGGGGACAACGAGTGTTTCTGGGGAGCAAAAGGGTCCATCTGTTACCAAACAGTGCAAAGATGAAGCAACCAAAACTGGTGCTGCAACCCAAGAACTCATGAATGGGCATGAACCAAACCAAGCAGAACCAAACAGAAGCCACAAAGAACCTGCCAAGCAATCTGCAGAACAGGGACAAAAACCTGACACCAAAACCACTTGGGCGAAAACGAAAAATCTGGCAAAGACCAGTGGGAACCTCGAGGGCCTTCCCAGTCAGATAAAAGTGGGCCGATGGTCCCGTCACTCCAGAATCGTCACCGCTAACCGGGCCCTGTTTGAGGGCATGGGGTCAGACGTAGCCGGTATCGGGTTGTTTGAGGCGAGCCCTGCAGTGGACCCTGTGCTGATTGAAAACTCAGAGCGCATTCTGAGCAAAGTCCAAACAATAGCTCGGATGTACAGTGCCAAAGCCAGCACCATGAAGGTCCCACTGCATCAGAAGCGGGCCAGTACCGTGTGGAACCAATCATGGGTCTCGACCAGACTGTCCGGACTCTCAGCTCAGAGCCAAACTAAGTACCAGCAGCAAACACAAATCACTCAGTCAGAGACCAAGAGTGGAACCCAAACTCACTCCGAGACCAAAGCTCAAAGCCAAACTGTAACGCAGCAATTGAAGATCCAAAACAAAACCCAGAACAAGACCAGAACTTACAGCCAAACTCAATCTGTAAGTTGGGAGGGCCAACGGATCCGTGAAGAGAAGACGATAAAGACAGCCGAGAGCCTGACACACGGTAGGTTGATCTTCTTTTGAGGTGCAATGACTTGGGGTTTCTTAGAGATAGGTCGAGCCTCAAGTCCAAAGTCTTTATCACCCTTAGAGTCCTACTGATGGTACAATATAAGGATTTTTTTGTTGTTCTCTTCTAGATTTTCAAGAGACGGTGATGGAGCCCTGCGAGCCTCTGCTGTTTGGTCACGTGGTTGTTAAAGAACAGCTGACGCCAACCTGTCAACAGCAGACCAATGGATTCACCCTCTCCAGACCCAGAGACTTCATCTCCGCCTTGACCAGAGACTCCATCGTGGAAGCCTCCCAGACTTCCACCTCACTCTTGGAAAGTCCATCCACTGAAACATCCTGGACATCTGCAGCATCCAAACATCCCCTCAGAGCAGAACCTGAAGATCAGAGCACCAGTTTGTGCTCGTCGACCAGCAGCAACCTCCTGACGTCAAATCAAAACGTTCATCTGGTTCCTGAAGTGACACCAACAACAGAGGGGTGAGTGGATCGGATTTACAGAAGTGGTTCAAGATGAGCTCAAAACAAAAGAGGTTAAAACTCCGGCAACACTTGTAGTGTACAGAGCAACTTTGCTGTTAAACCAACACGCTGCTGGTCATGTTCCTTAAAATGTCTTCAGAAACGTTTCAGTATTCTATTTATTATTCTGCCGACACTAAATCAAATCTTAACAATTCATCATTCTCTAAAAAGTCTAGTTCATGTAGCGCTTCGTGGGTGTTTATAGCAGCTACAAGGACTTGCAGGACTTTTCCCATTTGAAGTTCTGCCACACTTTGGAAGTCTCGGGTCTTTAAAAACTTCAACACCAAACCACCACTTTCTAAAACTGTAGCGCCGAGTGCAGCCCAACGGGTAGAAAAGCAGCGGACGTCCAGCCATGTGTGGTCGCACTCTGATCTGGAATATCGTTCCTCTGACGATGAATTAAAATGAGCAGGTGCAAGTAAAATATTCCAGATGGTTCCTGTAAATGTTCCTCATGGCTCCGGGCCAGAGCTATTCATGGTTTTAGCGTTTTTCTTCTTCTTTTTTTTTTTTTTACATCATGCTGTAACTTTTTATTTGCTCCTTAAAAAAAACAACAACACCAAAAATACACCCGGTTCTAATTTTTTATTTAAGTTTCCTGGTTGCTCTGAGTTTTGTTTTTGTTTTTGTTTTAATTATTTGAAAGCCACACAGTTTATTGACATACAGGCTCCACATGTGCACAGAAAAAAACGAGCAGATAAACACGGAAAAAGTAAGAAAAAGAAGATTTAGTCGCAAAAGCAAACAGCTATAGAAAGGACGATGTTGAGCAAAAACAGGATCTTTGTTTTTCCAGATGTCTTCTCCGGGAGTGTACCACATGAAAAAAAATGTTCCAAAAGGCTTTTCAGATTGGATTTAGATGCATTCACCTACAAAAGTCACCTCTAGTCACTGTAAAATGAATTATTATTTCCATTATTCAAGTGATGCACTAAAAAAAAAAAAAAAGCAGAAAAACTAAATTTCAGTGGCAGTTTTTTCCCACCACGGTGCAGCTTTATTCCACAGAGGGTGTTTTTAACCAAAGGAGCAAATAAACGTGAATAACTGTTGGTTGTAAGACGGGACTTTTCTGATAAAAAATGACCTGATAACGACGACGCAACTTCAATATCTGCGTGACTGATCATGGTGCAGCCCTGAAAAGATGAAAACTGAGCAAATGCACCAAACATACCTATTTGAAAATCCTCCTGATAGAACAAGCAGTGAACGTGGGATCAGGTTTCTGTGGGAAAATATAAACAAGGCGGCATTTGGCAGATTTCCTGAGTGTGTCTGAACATTTAGAGGAGCAGGATTCTGCTGTGCATCTATCATCACAGTAACGTATATAATGGTGTATATATAGTGTCAGTTTGATTCTGCTCTGTGTTTGCAGGTCGGAGCAGAGTCCTGTGTGTGTTGTTTACTCAGCCGGAGAAGATCCAACATCTGCGAGGGTCACTGAACAGCCAAACCTCTCAGCTCTTAATCCACAGCGGAAACGAGACGAGCAGGAACCAGCAGCTGCACAACATATACAAGAGCAGAAGCTTTCCAAAGACGTGAGAGTCTGTGCAGGAGAGACACGGATCCAGGCGGAGGACCGGACCTCCATGGCGCTTCACCCAGCGCCAGGCGGAGTGCAGCCCCAGAGGGAGGCACCACTCTGGGCAGATGGAGCCGCCGCTGCCCCCGAGAGGCCGCAGAGAGATGAGCCTCTGAGCGGCACGTTAAACCATTCCAGTGGTTCTCTGAGGTCCGTGCAGACAGAAGACCCTCCTGACTCCTCAGGAGAGCTGAACCAGCCCTCGTACAGGAGCTCCGAGGCCTCACTCGGGGCTTCAGAAACCCCCGAAGACCCCAAAACAAAAGAAGTTCAAAACCCAGAATCCCACCCCTTCCTGCCTCGCCCGCCATCGGTGCAGCCCGAAGATCTGCTCCCAACGTTCACCAGCCAGAGACCCGCTGACCTGCCGACGGCTCTGAGCAAACGGGCCTCGTGTGAATCCTGGAGAGTCGACTGTGAGCTCAGGTACATCTGCAAAGTCAACCAAATCTGAGAAAAATTTCTCCCAAACAGTCATAGAACATCTGGTTCTGATTCTACAGTAACTTTGTCTGCTGACCAGAGTTCTACCTTCAGAGTTCCAGGTCCTTGAAGTCCACAGAGGAGGGTCCAGATTGATCACTTTAATGGACTTTTTCCATCATTTCTGAGCCTCAGAACTTCATCAGTACAGCAGATAGACACATGACATTTAGGAGGAAGAACACATCTGGGTTCTGGTAGAACCTGACACCAGATCAGTTCTACATCCATCCAGGTGTCTCAGTCTGAACACTGGACCTGGTTTCTGTTAAGCACAATTTTTTTAAAAGTAACTTTGAGCATCAATATCACAAGAAATATCAGATTTAACAGCAGAACTGCAGCAGTTTGACGTTAATCTTTAAAAAGATTTATTTAAAAACTGTTTTTTATTAAACAGTAATGTTTCTAAACGGCTTGCTATTATTTTATGTAAGAAAATATTGTTAAAACAAGTTGTAATGAACACATTTTGAGTCATTTTAGAGAGTTAGACTCAGTTTGGTGTCATTTTAATCATTTTGAACACATTTCAAGACATTTTGAACAAACTTGGAGTCGTTTTTAGTTTCGAGTCATTTACACTGGTTATTAGTCCACTGAGCTGCAGGACTTTATGTTGCAGAAGAAACATGAGCACCCAGAAACAGCTCAGAGGTCAGAGGGTTAAGGATTTACCTCAGAGTTCTTCTGAACTGGTTAAATATCGTCCTGACTGGTCGGCTCATCATCAGCAAGGAATTAGCCTTCAGCAGCATCACTCGTCTGAGGTTTCTTTAAGTTTAGCCAAAGTAGAAAACTAAAGACAACATAAAAGCTGGGGCAGCGTTTAGATTGAAGTGTTTACTCCTTTACAGAATTTCTCCTTGGGGATCAGTAAAGTCTATAATAAAGCCCAGTTTGTCTGACAGCTGTTTTACTCCCAGCTCTCATAAAGGCTTCACAGCTGGTGTCGGGTTTTATTTCTGTTTGTCTCATCACACAACGCAAATTAAAGACATAACAGAGGCGTGAAGAAATAAACAGCTGCACTAATTTGGTGCAGAAATCCACAGCGCTTCATCTTTTTCCCTCCCGCTGGTAAATGATGCTCATAGAATAGAATAGAATAGAATAGAATAGAATAGAATAGAACATATCTTTATTGTAACTGTACATGTATTATGAAAGTATATCACACTGAGGAAACTCAAAACGTTTTTATGTAGGCATGAACTCATGAAACTGACTTGGTCAAACAAAGAATCCAGCTTCAGTTTGTGCTGATACCAAACAGTTAGAAATAGTTTAAACTTGTTAAGGTCTTTACCTGACGATGGGAAGTGCTATGAGATGACATATGTTGTGAACTGGTGCTACATGTATTAAACTGAACTGAATAAAAAAACACTTCAATCGGGACGTCCATCGTCTAAAGTTGAAATCATCATGAAATACGTTGTTGTAATGATGAAATATCTTTTCTGTCTTCACCAGGAAACCAAAAGATCCGATCCTGGTGGAGAGACCTACCCCGGCCACCGCTACTCCTGACAGGGACCTCACCGTCGCCCCCTCAGCCTTCAAGCCGAGTCTCCAACAACGCTCCCCTTCTCCTCTCAGAGCCACCTCCTCTCCTCATCCACCTTCCTCTTCTGTCCGAGCACCTCCCTGCTCCTCACCCTTCAGGGTTATCCCAGCGTCCTCTCCCACTCCTGTATCTCCCGGAGGCTCCACCTACTCCATGGCTCTGTCCTGTCTATCTCCGACTCCTCCTTCTTCTGGCAAGGTTTCCTCCACAAGAGCTCCACCTGCTTCATCTCCGACACCTTCCACAAGGTCATCAAGAACCGGAGCTCCATCCTCCCCAACACCATCCACCTCCCTCCGTTCTCCTCCATGCTCCTCCCCCGTTGCTTCTTCCTCTGCGTTTACCAGATCCTTAGCCGCCTCCTGCATCAGTCAGTCCATCAGTCAGAGCATGGCAAAGACCAACAGCACCACTCGCCAACAAGCCACACCCACAAATCCAAGTCATCTAAGACAGCGCTCCCCTTCTCCCCACCTTCCTCCCAGTCAACAAGGCTCCACCACACCAGCTTACGCCCAGTTAGGGTGCACGAAGGATGGGTACCAACATCCAAGGTGTCTTTCCCAACGCTCTCCTTCCCCTTCTATGGCTAATCACCAGCCACCCTACTCTCCCTCCTCCACACCCCGTCCATCATTCCTTCACTCCAAAACTGATCATAACACAAACAACAACAACAACGTAGCTGGTTCAAGCACAGTGATCAATGGTGCAGTCAGTAATGGCGGTTGGTCAACAAGTCCGCAGAAAGGACCGCAAACCCACGATGCTCTCTGGTTGGGATCCCACAACCGTGTAGCTCGGCCTTTTTCTGCATCCGAACCCAGTTCCAGAGTCCAGTCCCCGTCTCCATCCCCGACCCCGGCCTCGTTTACTCGCCTCTGCTCTCCACCCCCACAACATAATTACTCCTCCCCCATGGCAAACAAACCTCCCCACCCAAGGAGTACAAGAATAGGAAGCTCCCATAACCCACTCGGACTCACTTTAGAGCTACCCAGGCCCTCCTCATCGTGTCTGAGCCCTCGGATCCTCTCCCCACCACCTATTGGTGTGTCAGTGAATGTTTGGACCAATAACGTTGCTGCACCTCAGCCTAGAAATCCTCGATATGCTTCCTCCTCGTCCTCTCCTTCCTTTTCTTCCATGCTAGGCTCACCAACACTGGACACTGCCTCTTCTTCTTTTGTCCCTCGGAGTAGTTCCAGAGCTTCCTCCCCTTCTGGATCCTGTCCTCCTTCCTCCCAAAGCCTCCGGAGGTCCTTCTCCTCTGGATTGGCAGACAATCCTTCAAGCCCGGCCCAGGCCACTGGGAGTGGACTGCGCCGGTCTTGGGCAGAGGGCAGCCGAAGGACCTTTGGTTTTAGTGGCCGAAGTTCATTTGATCAGCAGGAGTCCTGTCCGATCAGTCCGAGGAGTGGGTGGTCCTCCTACAGCAGTTCACCGTCCTGCCTCAGCCCTCGAGCTGGGCTTCAATCCCCAATCTCGCCCAGCAGATTCACCCCGGGTAAAGGCAACCTTGGTGGGCAGCATTTCACCAGCGTGCCCTGGCCAGATGTACGTGAGCTTTCCAACAAATATAAAATAACTGATAGCCCTGATACAAGTGCTACTTCCACCATCGTTGCCTCTCCTCCTGCTCCGATCTCTCCCCTGTCCCACACCCCCCTGACCTCGCCTGGTCCATCAGAGTGGGGAGACCCAGAGCTGGAGCAGGGTCATTGTCGTAGTCAGCTGATCTGCGCCTACGTTGCTCGACCTTCTCGTGAACAAAACCTCCCATCCTCAGGAATTACTTCCCCTCCACCTGCCACCCACCACCACCAATCCCAAGTCAGACCACAGCCTCAGGTCCTTATTGCCACCACAACACCTCATGTATCCTCAGTCCCGCCCACATTTCCCTCAGCGCCATCCCCGCTACCCTTCTCCCATTCATCTCCTACCAAACAGGGGAACCAGAAGGCCAGTTACGCCACAACAGTGAACCTCCAGATTGCTGGAAGTGGTCGAATAACCTCCTTCAGCACCGCCCAAGTTAGCCTGACCCAAACCCTGCAGGGAGGAGCCGGAGCTGGAGGACCAGGACAGGGGCAGATGACGAGGAGAGTAAGCATCAACGGACTTTCACACCTTCCTCCTCCTCTTTCTCAGAACTGTAACAGGCTATGAAGGAAAAAGAGGAGTCCTTCATTAATGGCCTTACAGGACAAGAAGGGACAAAACGGATGGTGGGCACCTTAATAATGAGACACAAAGAGAAAAACAGAAGTGGGTCTTGGTCAGTGGTCAAGACCTTTTGGACGTATTCCCTCGCTGGATGAGACCCATAACCTTCTCCATGATGTTGAAAAACAAGTCTTAAGTGCTTCAGTAGAAGGCAGCTGGACTTGTTTTTTGGTTCTTAAAGATGTTTCCCCTTTTATTCAAAAGTTTCCTCCGTTCCAAGTGACCAGTTGGAAGTTCCACTAATGATCCTAAATTCCCAATGACTCGGGGCATGAAGACTCATTAGTCTGCCTGGGGAGGGATGACTCAAGGTGTGATTGGTGTTGAAACTCTACCACACAGTTTCACCACCATTTACTGCCTGATTCATGTGAATCTTGGGGTGCTGATGGGCCCAAATTTATGCAAGTCTTGGGTCATTGTCAAGCCTAGGTTTTTGTGAATCTTGAGTTATTAATAGGACTAGACTTACGTAAGTTTTGGGTTGTTGACAAGCCTGGATTCATGTGGGTTCCAAGTTGAGAGTTTTGATCCATTTCAGTATTGGGTCATTACTGAGCCATATTCATATGAGTCTTGGGTAGTTGGTAAGCCTTCATTTATGTGAATCTCAGGTTGTTACCCAGAATTGATTCACATGAGTATCGGGTTATTGAGAAGCCCTGATTTTTGTGAATTTTGGATTGTCAGTGAGTCTTGGTCCATGTGCGTCTTATTTTGTTGGCTAGCTTTGATCAATGTCAGTCTTGGATCATTAACAAACACTGAGTCTTATGAACATCGGGTTGTTCACCAGACTTTATTAATGCTATTCTTGGTTCTTTAATGAGCCTTGGATTTGAGAATAAACACCTGTAACTCCCCACCAGTCTGTTAGAACCGAAGAAGCCTCTTGGATGAAGCTGGAGCATCTTGAAGAACCATAAAAAGAAGCATGGCTGCCTTCTACTGACGCGTTTAGGGTTACCACGAGAATCTATATGGACATGTTGAGAAAAATGGAAAATCGTGGCCTTCTTTGATTTGGGAATAAGATCACATCTGAGGGATTCAAAGAGTTTCGTCAACCCAGTTTGATTTAAAGACAGTTGCTTCACCGTGATGGGCCTCTAGACAAGTCGACTCTGGAGGCCTTTTAAGAGTTCTACCTGCATGTGGGGTTATTTTTAAATGGATGTCAAACAGAAACGTGTAAATGAATCACTTAGCTGTGAGTTTGCTATTAGACACCTTAAACCCTGAAAGTCCACAGCTGGATGAATGAGTTGTGACAATCTAAAGGTTGGACTTTTCTCATTTAAGACATTTTTGGAAAGATTTTTGGCATTTACATCGCTGGAGTACATCCTAAACCTGCGACGTTGAAGGTCCAGCGTCCAACCGGTGCTGTTTGCAGTCACACTTACTTAATGTATTCTTACTGTTTCTCTATTGTTACTCCGCTGTGTGGCTGCTTGAGGCCAGTGTTTAACTGTGGTTATTAATAATCTATCTTTAACCATTTTTATTCTCCCTCTTATTTTATTGTTTATTTATGGAGTTAGTCTTTTTATCTTCGGCACTTAGTATCCTTAAAGTATGTCGGTGTTTTTGCACAGCGTCCTCAGCCCTCGCATTGAGTGTGTGTGAATGTGTGTGTTTGACATGACGTGTCTGCTAAGTTATTGTTTAACTTCAGGCCAAACCTTCATCTGTGTGTGTGTGTGTGTGTGTTTTATGCTGGTTTTGTTCCCATATTGACGCTGGTTTGTTGACTCAACACTCTCTGCTGGTGCTGGTGAGCTTCAGAAACCTCGTGCCTTCACTTCGTCACAAAGCCGGAACGTAAACAAGGGGGGAACGGAGCAGTTTGCACAAAGCTTGACCCAAATTTAGTTTCCTAGAGGTGTCGATTGGTGAAATCTAACAATGTGATGCTCTGCAGACGAGGCGAACGAGGCGTGAGGTTTCTGGAAACTGGGTTTTTTTTAAAAAAAGGGAAATATTAACGAAATTTTCATCCCCGAGAGTCAGTGAGATGTTTGGAAAATAAAAGTTTGTGGTGCAAAACCAGAACTGCTGCTTTGCGTCGACTGTGTTCTTGATGTTTGATGGCGTATCCTGATACATGTGACCGTCGTGGAAGCGTGTCCGTGAGGAATCTGATCTCTGATAGCAGCAGCTCACTTTCACTTTTGGTTTTAGCCTTTCAGCTCTGATATGCTGTGAATTGTCCTGGTTCACTGCAGTTTGGACCGAGCTTTTCTCCAGGTAAGAGCTGCACTCGCTGTGCTTCTTCGACTCGATGCTGATTTTTTAAGCTCTCGGCTGCTTCGCGCAGACTCTTAAACTTCACAGGTTTCCGATAAACGCACGACTTCTTTCCTTCGGAGAGTGAAATAGCTGCTTTCATCTCCATTTGAATGTCTGATAACTTAAGTTTGAGTCATTTTGCAGAAGTTACAAGTCACTTAGGACACGATATTTGTCATTTTAGGCTCATTTTTTAGATTTTTTTTTGGTCAGTTTGGATAAATTTTGTCATTTTGGAGAAGTTTTTGCTGGAGGTGGAGACTGTAAACACCTCAAACGATCCATTTTCTGTTACTTGGTTCCTCGTTTCCTTCAGTGTGTTGTGAAGCTGTTTTTTTGAGTAGGTAAAGGTGCACATTTACGTAACTTTGGGAGGTTTTTGAGGACAAGTTAGCAGAACCCACAGAGACACAACAAATGGTTCTTTTACTTCCTCCTTCGTTGTGTCGTATCGCTGCTGCACTTTTGTGCAAAGTTGAGTTTGAGTCATTTTGTAGAAGTCACTCAGGACACGATATCTGTCATTATGGAAAAGTTTTTTTTTTTTTTTACAATTTTGGACTTTTTTGGGGCTCACTTTGGATAAATGTTGTCGTTTTTCCTGGAGGTAAACACCTTGAGCGATCTATAGTCTCCTACTTGGTTCCTCATTTCCTTCATTTGCTTCAGTCGGAGTCAATCTGCAAAAGTTTGACGAACTGAAGTAACTTTGAAAGGTTTTTGTCAGACTGCAAACTCAGCATAGAAACACATCACATGGTTCTTTTACGTCCTTCCTCCTTTGTTGTGGCATATTGCGGCGTTTTTGTGCCAATTTTGAGCAGCTTTTTGAGTCCGTTCAGACAGACTTGAAGCCAGCTTCGACCTTCACTTGTCACTTTGACGAATGATTCTGGGTCCAGACAGACGAGTTGCAGCAGGAACATACAGTCTGATGAACATTAAACATGTTCTACTAGATTCCAGATATGTAACTATGAGCCTGTAAATGTGCAGAATGGAGCTCGTTGCAGTGAAGTTGTATCTGCAGACACGTGAGAGGCAAACAGGAAACACAACAACCAACAGCTGGTTTTCTTTTAGTTTCTTTTACAGACAACTTCCAAAGGAACAGTTTAGATAATGAGGCTTAACTGCTTTCTTTCACATCAAAATGTCAAACTAAAGCAGCCATAAAACTTTACTGCATGGTACTGTTTTCTGCAGATGAACAAATCCTGGACTCTCCGCCGTTCACCTGTCAAACGATGAATTTACGACGAGGCTTCACCGGGCCAAGAAACAGTCTGACACATGAATGCCTCTAAAACCTCAGCGAGCTATTACACAACTAGCAGGACATAACACGCTGATCAGGGGTGATAGCGGAGGTGAATCACGCTGCGTTCAGAAAACCCAACGACGTCTGGGTTTTCCCTTTCTTACAAATATCTGAAAGCAGCTCCCAGAGATTACCTGCAAAAATAATTACAGAAGATTTCCACGTTTTTATGGAAACACGACTCACAGAAAGCATCCGAGTCGGCAGGAGGAGGTCGGGGCGGATGGACGGCGCCCAAAGCGAGCGAGTCCTCAGAACTTCAGTAAAGCAGATGAGATGCAGGAAGGGCTGAAAAACACGTCTGAGTTCTGGTAGAACCTGACACCAGATCAGTTTTACATCCATCCAGGTGTCTCAGTCTGAACACTGGATCTGGGTTCTGATCCAAAACGAGACGAACCAACACAAACTCAGAGCTACTTTGTGAAACACACGACACGCGAAAGAAATAAGAAACACAAAACGATTTGGTTTTTTAAATAAGTGAAATGACAAAAACAAGACAAACAACATGAGAGACAAAAAAAGAAAAAAACACACAGCCGTGACTCGATGATCCGACACTAAATGTAAAACCTTCTTCTATGTCGGATATCAAGGCTGTCGGATTGTCCAGACGGAGGTCCAGATACGAGGAGGGCTTGATGCTGGAAGGCTCATTAGTTGTTCATTATTGTTCATAGTTGTTATAATAACTAGTGGTTCTGGTCCCAGTAGAACTTTCTGCTCTCTGGATGTTCAGGCCCAATTAATGATGAATATCTGGATATTTGTCCCGGTCCGGGGACACTTCCACCCCGGGGCAGCGCTCTGACGGGGTGGAAGTGTCCAGAACACACAGGCAGTACTTGGCTGCTGATGCTAGTTTCGTTAGCCTCATAGACTAATTGTAGCAGCTGGACTCGCTTGAGTTCCTTGAAGACGTTCCACCTTCATCCAAGAGGCTTCATCAGCTCTGACTGACTAGTTGGGAGTTCCAGATCCACAATGGGGTTACCGCACTAGTGACTCACATAACGAGGGGGAGGAGCAACAAACCCCCAACTGAAACCCAAACTCAGGTGTTAACGTCTCCTTCAGGATATGTGGAACTCCCAACTAGTCAGTCAGAGCTGATGGAGCCTCTTGGATGAAGGTGGAACGTCTTGAAGGAACTCAAGCAGCTGCTACGATTAAACCACCAGAACAACCAGGACCTGGAGGACTGAGAATCTTCACAGACAGTTTAGTTAGCGCTCACACTTCTGTTTCCTCCATCGGTGGCGGCGGGGGAGTGGCAGATACGCTCCACCGTTACCATCCATGTTTACTTCCATAAACACTGAGCACGCTCGCTGCGTGTGACGTCGTCGTGTCCTCTTNGGAGTCACAATCCAAGGCTGTCGCTATGTTAAGGCTGTTTTTATGGGTTCTGTTGGTCTGTTTAGGATCGTTAAGGGTCCGGTTACGGCTGTAAACGGTGCAATCTGGCGGTTTTAAAGCTTTTCAAACAGGTGTTAAACCACTAAGGAATGGCTTTTTTCTGCGTTTTTTACAGCTGCTCTGCCTTTATGAAGAGTTTTCCTTTTACAGCCTCATAAATAATGATAAGAAGGAAGTCGTTGGACATGATTTTAATCTAATTTAGTGGTGAGTGAGAAGATATCCTAAAACCAGTTTCATCTCTTGTTCGATGGATGTTCAGTGACATCCAGACACTGCACCTCGACCAGAAACACTTTTTTTCTTCCTTTAACCATCAGTCCTGCTTCCACAAACGTCTAATTAATGTGTGTTTAGCTGAAGGAGGTCGTTGTAGCTGCACAGCTCTGCTCGCTGATAATCTGAGTCACTCTTATGCAACGCTGTCAGCAGTGTTTCAGTGACTCTAGAGCGAATGGTTTAAGGCCGTTTCTGCTGAATGCTGAACCAATTAGCTCAGAGAATCCTGGAAAGAGCTCGCTGGGAGACATCTGATGGAATTCCACTCCACCAGAACCTCCACTAATATGCAAATTTCTTCTTTCGTCGTTGCCAAAACACTAAACGGTGACTCAATGTGAAAGGATGGAAAGTTTCCGCCGTCGGCTCTTTGGCGCCTGCAGCTGAGATTCCAGCTTCGACACTCGGAGAGTCGATGTTTATCTGGATATCAGGTGTTTCAGGGCCGAGGCCTTCATTCATTTACTATTTGAGGCAATTATGGGATGCCTCTGCAGGAACGCCCAGAGATTTATGGAGCTGTTATCTGCTGCAGGGAGGAGGAGGAGGAGGAGGAGGACGAAGGGGCGGAGTGAGAAAGTGAAGCCTGGAATTTAAAGCTTGCAGACTTTGCTTTGGATCCAGAAGGCGCTCAGCAGAGGAGAGACGAGGAGCTGCTGCTGGAGTCTGCTGGTCCACATGCTCTCATCTGGTTTTTTTGCAGCTTCTGGAGCTTCTGTCTGGATCCGAGCTAACAGGATTATCCGTCCGGAGCCTCGTCCAGCTCTGAGGAAAGCCTTCGGGACGTTGCAGCGAGAAGCAGCCGAGGAAATGTGACTCCGACGATGCCATGCTGAGAGGGATTCCAGCTCTGCTCAGCGTGCTTCTGTGGTTTGTTTGTCAGCCCGCCGTGACGCCGCAACACGTCGACATACGCTGCAGCAGAGACATCTTCAAGCGGGTCAGCGAGCTGCTGATAAAAGCTCCCAGTCAGGTAACAGCCCAGCAGAGGCCTGAGCGGAGGCAGAATAACAGCCACAGGAAGCACTGCTGAGCAATAAGAGGCAAAAACACAGACAGGAGCTGCTGCAAGATGACAAACAGCAAAAGTTTAAAGGACAGAAATGACAAAAACTGGATTCAAATGTCTTCAGAACTTCCAGAAACTTGTCAGAATGAGTTTCCAGTTTCGATTTCAGTTTGTAAAATCACTAAATCCGTCTCTAACGTGACTGAAAACTTTCAAAAACTTGTTCAAAGTGACAAATTATAAAACTTCAGTTTCAACTAAAACCTGTTCAGATGAGCTCAGACTCAAACTAAAGTTTTCTGAATGTTATAAATGAACTGAGACGTCTGAGAAAAGTTCAGGTTCAACGTTCAAACTCCAACTATAAACATAATATGTGATAAATGTACATATATATATAATCACATGCCGACACAGTTGAAATGACATTTATTCCTTTAAGAGACAAACAACCAGACAAAACAAAATTAGAATTTTTTCCCCAAAAAATATTATCACATTTTTCAAAAACTTGTCCTAAATTTTAAAAAAAAAAAAAAAAGAGAGAAAAATTTATTCAAAACAACTTTAAAAGTTTCCAAAATGATAAAAACCTTTTTAAAAATGATTCAGTCTCAAATTCAGCCTCGGTCTCAAAAACGCTTCTGAAACGTTTCCACAGCTTCTCAGAAACCTCCGGAAAGTTCACGCAAAATGACAAAAACATGAACAATAAGACTCAAAACGCATCATTATTA